GAAACGTCGCACTAGACGGATATATATAAACCACATTGTTTTGTTTGGCGGCCTAAATTTGTTGGACATGAAGAACCGACATGGCGTCTCTCATTGTATCTCTGTGCTGGCTATTATTTTATGAATGGATTTGGGTGCCCCTTAAAAAAAGAAGAAGAAAAATCAGGTTTTCTTTGTAAGCTAAAAAAAATGTCAAACGAGCTGGTTCGTGCCAGGTAGGAGGAGCAAGCCATCTCATGAAGCTATCTGACAGGAAAAAACGCACAAAACCTACTGACCATCTGAAATGAGGCCAGTTTCTCTACGTAAGGAACTCCCATATGATAGTCGTTTATTTTCGACGCTATATCATTCACTCAAGAATTGATGATATTTTTTTTCAAATTGATGGACTTTTTCCAAATCCGTTTTTTTTTCCAAAAATCGATGAACTTCTTTTTCAAATTTGTGATTTTTTTTCAAAATTGATGATTTTTTTTCGAATTTGAGAACTCTTTTTAAAATTTATGATTTTTTAACTTTTCGTGAACTTTTTTGTAAAAGCCAACAGTCAACAACCTGGTCAGTAGTGCGTGGTCGCGGTCAACAGTCAACTAGCGACCTAGGATCGAGCGACGAGCGACCCGAGCGAAGAGTGTCGAACCCTTCTGCACCTCTCGATTGGATCCAGCTACCCAGAATGCCAGACCGACGGCCGCACGGGCCCAGTCCCGACGCAACAGTTGTCAGGAAGAGAAGGACGCAGGCGACGCCATGGCGAGGAGAGAGTGGGCGGGTGATGCCTTAGAGGGAAGGGGACACAGCGGATAGAGGAGAGGACGGGCTTCGTCGTGACGTGGAGGAGAGATGGTGGGGTAGGATAGGAAGGGGCGAGCGGCGCTATGGAGGGGAGGGGGAAGCGGCGGTTGTGATGCGGTGAGAGAGCGAGAGGATCCAGCTGCTGTGAGGGAGTGAGAATAACGAGCCTATGTGCTGCGGTTCGGTGAGAATAAGGCCACGAAGCTATGTAGATGAAAAGAAAAACTAACAAGCACACAAACCTTGTCATGTTAGGCTTTTTTTCTTTAAGAAAATGAGGAAACGAGCAGCTTATGTGATGAGGTAAGGCTAAAAATTGTTTTTACAGAATAGACCAACAAATGAGAAAACTGTATTTATTTTGTTTCCGGATAAAAGGCGATTGCCTGATCTTAAACAGAGGCATTACGATTATTACATGAAGAGATAGCAAAGAATAAGTCAAAAAATCATTGCATGGTCCATAGACCGAATCATAGCGGCTCCGCACATTTGGAGGCTAAAGCTAATAAGAAGCACTCCTAAAAAAGTAGTACTAACAAGCGGGCATAAAGGGCAGCTAGGCAAGCATGGCGTAAGAATCGGAGGCGGCTACAACACCACTTCACGCCGAGGAGAGGATAACTCCCCTGGCTAAGGGCCTCTTTGGTTCCAAATAAATCACCAACTTATAAGTCGAGAAGTAAAAAAAAATTAACTTATTTTGCCAAACAGACCCGACTTATAAGTCACCCCAACTTATAAGTCATAAGTTGCTTCACCCCAACTTAAAACTTATAAGTCACCCCCTTTTGCGTTGGTCCCACCACCTACATAATGTTGATTGATGTGGAAAGGTGTGTCAGATGACTTATAAGTCAGATGACAACCAAACAGACGTGACTTATAAGTCACTGGTTTTAAGTCACCTGACTTATAAGTCGGATGACTTATTGAAACCAAACAGGCCCTAATGCCATTCAGTCGTGATGTGTCACAAAGGCTCCTGCATTTGTCCCGAAGGCTACTGATCAACTAGTCAAGCTGAGGTCGGTCCGGCCATCGTTCGAGCGGTTTCCAAAGTTACAACTGAATCATAATTTTATTCACTAGGTCAGCTGAGTGTTTTATAGATCGCCACTCTATTAAAGCCTTGTTGCGGGTCGTCCATAAGTCCCAAGCAATCGCCCCAAAACCCATCCAAAAGATCGTGTAAATTAGCAAACCGCACGGGGTTCCAGGTACAACAAACCTCAAAATCGATGAACTTTTTCTAAATTTAATGATTTTTTCAAATTTATGAACTTTTTAAAAAAATTGATGAACTTTTTTCAATTTGCGGACTCATTTTCGCATTTATGATTTTTTTAACTTTTCGTGAACTTTTTTTAGAAGTGAATAGTCAACAACCTAGTCAGTAGTGCATGGTCGCGGTCAAGAGTTAACTAGCGACCTGGGATCAAGCGACGAATTTATTGTCAAATTGATGAACTTTTTTCTCAAATCGATGAACTTTTTTCTAAAACTGATGATTTTTTTTTTCAAAATCGGTGTTTTTTAACAAAATTCATGAAGTTTTGTTTCAAAATTGACTAACTTTTCCTAGAATCGATGAACTTTTTTCAAATTTGCGAACTCTTTTCCGAATTTATGGTTTTTTAAAACTTTCCTTGAACTATTTTGTACTAAAAGTCAACCGTCAACAAACTGTTCAGTAGTGCATGGTCGCGGTCAAGGGTCAATTAGCCACCTTGGGGATCGAGGGACGAGCGACCCGAGCGAGCGAGGAGGAGCGACCCAATCAACCTTCTTCTGCGTGGGCGCTGGCACCACGAGTCGATCGTAAGCCTATTTTTGTGGATCGGCCATTAGCTCAAGCCCAAGATCGCACGCGCGCACAAGCACCACACAAGGCTCTCCCACGATTACCAAACACATCCGATCTCGACTGACTGGCGATGGCCATGACCTACCACCCGCGCCGCGGCTACGGCGGCGAGCGAGCAGCCGGCGGCCCAAACCTCGTACACGAAAGCGAACGACTGCAGCCGTGCCCGTGATGGAGGCCGCCTCCGATCTCCGGACGCAATCTCCAATGCGCCGCATGATGGCTCACGCACGCCACATCAACAAGATAAGGTACTCACATATGGAGGGAGTACTGTACTCCCTTCGTCCGAAAATACTTATCATAAAGATGTATCTAAAACTAAAATACATCTAAATACATTCCCTTTTATTCATTTTGATGACAAGTATTTTCGGACGTAGGAAGTAAATTTTTTTTGAGACAAGGTAATCACATATTGATATCACTAGTTGGTACGTATTGCATTGTTTGTTGGATTGGTAGTACAAGCTACTCCCTCCATTCCAAAATATAGTGCGCCCGCGCTTCCCGAGGTCCAACTTTGACCATAAATTTAACCAACGAGACCAACTGCGGCGGGAGAAAAAAATTATATAATTGAAAACTTCATTCGAATACGAATTCACTGATATAATTTTTGCTCCCGCCGCAATCGGTCTTGGCAGTTAAATTTACGGTCAAAGTTAAAGCACGTGGATAGAGGAAGCACTACATTGTGGAATGGAGGGAGTATTAGCAACTACCAGAGGAATCACTGTAGGGAAAGCTGGAGTAGATCGGAGGAAACCTGTTATGATCAATCTTAATTTTTGTATTTTTTAAGAATGATAGTGTACCACTAGAAAAGGAATTAGAAGGCAGGGTATTCTACTGGACATAATACCCGGGCCTTAATTTAATTGATCTTGTAAACTGTTGGTCAAAATTAAATTTCACAATAGGCTACATCTCGTGTCACACTGTCTTTCCAATAGTGCCCAGATTTGCTTATCTCTTCGTATTGTAATAAACGGGTTAATTTTGTCAAAAAAAAGAGAGTGAAAATCGGTGCGGCCAAAAGAAAAAAGAATCACTCTCGCCGTTGTCTTCACCTTCTATGTTTAAATCCTGGCTCCACCCCTGATTCAGCGAAATCTAAAGATACCATTTGCAAAAAAATAAAAAAGATCCGAAGGTACAAAGTGTTGCGTATCTTGGACAGATGGAGTGCTATCAATTTGTAGCGCCATGCAACGAAACAACTGACAGGCAGAAGCAAAACCGCCCTTGTTTCCACGCCATGTACCGGCGAGGCTGGCGATTCCCCTTCTCCGCTCCCGTTCCAGCGGCATGAGGGTGGGGGAACCCCGGTTCTCCTATTTTGGCATGTAGATAGGTGTTGGGTTTGGTGTGTCGACATCGCCGCCGTGATGGTGGGGACAACGTCGTGTGAAATAAGTGATGTTGTTTGCTCCCATCACAGTGTGGTTGTTAACAACGCCGCTGAGCTGGCGGGTTGGTGGCCTCACAGATCCGTCGATCTGTGGAGGATAGGTGTTCCTGCTATCCCTTGGGGATGGATCAAGGTTAACGCGGTAGAGGCATCGACCTTGAAGGGGATTTTCTGCTCCGGCTACATCAATACGAGTTCTGGTATCGGTGTGGAGCCACAGAGCCCGTATAGGAGTGATGGGCCAGTGTTGTTGTGTTGATCTCTTTTGGAGGGTGCCAGATCTTCCTCCCTCTTGATCACTGGCGAGGGAGGCATCATCTTTTTTCTGGTGGTACTTCGTCCCGTTTCATCTCCGATGCGCTGGTCCAGTAGGACCGAGGTTGACGACTTCTTGTCCACAAAGACCCAGTCTGCAGATTAAAATGTCACGCCGGCTCGGGGGAGCGGCGGCGCTCCTTCAGCCTGGGTTGGGATGTTGGTGGGTCGGTGCTCCAAGGACCCGATTGTAATCTTTGTTTTTTATTGGGTGCTTTGTATCATTGGCTATTAGCAATAGAAGATCTAGGGTCTCTTTCACAAATACTTTCTCTGTTTCTAAATATAAGACCTTTCAGAGATTTTAATATAGACTATATATAAAGTAAAATGGTTGAATCTATATTTTAAAATATGTCTATATACATTCATATGTAGTTTGTATATACATTCGTATGTAGTTCGTATTAACGGTTTGTATTTAGAAATAGAGGGAGTAAAACGTAAAACAAAAATATAGAGAAGAGTAGGTGGGCTGCAGTAGGGTGTCGGAAGTGAAGCCCGTTGTAGTAGAAATTCCCCATTTCTTCCTGTCAAATCCCTAGAACCCAAACCCTCGATCCAAACCACCACAGATCCGTCCAGCAGGAGTTGGGAAGGGGGAAGATGGACCATCACCACCCGCCGCCGCTCCCGCAGCAGCACGGCGACCACTACCGGCCGCTGGTGCTCTCCCCGCAGCCCGACCATGCCCACGCCCTTCAGTACCAGCAGCAGCCGCAGCAGCAGCAGCAGCAAGCGACGCCGCCGCCGCAGCATCACCACCCCTCGCTCGCGTCCCATTTCCACCTCCTCCACGTAAGTTGGGATCCGTTTCTCCAGAAAGCCAGCATCTTCTTCGGTTACAAATCTGGTATCGAGCTGATTGGGATTCGTTATTGTTGGCCATTTCTTAATGTATTAGTAAACCATCCACTTTTGGGTTTCAGTTTCAAGTTTAGTTTGAAGATTGTATCATTACTCTGCACTTGTGTACTGTGTCAAACATACCAGAGATAATCTGAGGATTATTCTTGAACAGTAGCAATATAGGGTAGCTCTGGTATAGGCTGTCGACCATTCTGACATAATCGTTTTGGTATATCGTTCTTAACACTTACACAGAAGGCTGTTTTTGTTCCTTTTATCTGCATGCCGTTGACTTCTGTATCATTAATCGATTCATGGCATGGGTTTATGGTTTCCTTAAATATACCTGTTGTACGGAAAGCCAACCAACATGGAGTCAAAAACATATTTAAGTACTACTATGGGTACAGATTTTCTTGGCACATTTAACTTGGAAAATATTTAGCTGTATGATATGATTGCAAAATGCCACTGCAAACAGAAACAATCCTCTGTATTAAGTACCCACTGCAAATGTTTGTTTGTCTGAACACCATATGGACCTGCGGTAACTGCCGCCAAACTGTGATCCCGGTTGCCTGATCTAATTGTGGGTTGCCTGAGATCTCATTTCCTAGACACTCATTCTGGAAAATAGTGAAAGTAAATCAGTTAATGTTGTAATTAACCATCCACTTTTGGTTTTCAGTTTCATGTTAGTTTGGAACATTGTATCATTACTGTGCAGATGTGTATTGTGCCAAACATACTAGAGACAATCAGACAGTTATTCTTGAATAGTAGTAATAGGATAGCTCTGGTGCAGGTTGTTGATCGTTCTGACATAATCGTTTTGGTATATCATTCTTAACGGTCATACCGAATGTTGTTTTCTTTCCTCTAAAATTTGTTACGTACACCGTTGACTTTTAAATCATTAATGGACTCATGACACCAACTTACATTGTCATTACATATATCTCTTGTATGGAAATCCAACCGACATGGAATTGAAGACATAGTATTATATTAAGTACTATGGGCACAAATTTTCTTGGCACATTTAACTTGGATAATATTTAGCTGTATGCAATTGCAAACAGAAACAATCCTCTGTACTAAGTACCCACTGCAGATGTTTCTTTGTCTGCACACATATGGACTTGCTGCAACCCCTGCCAAACTGTGTTCCTGGTTGCATGATCTGATTGTGGGTCGCCTGAGATCTCACTTTCCAGACACTCACTCTGGGAAATGGTGAACCTAAATCATTTATTGACAAAAGAAACCAACTTACGGACAAGGAGGAGTGGGGTGGGGGACGCTTACTACTTGGCTTTGCTGTCACTGCTGCAGTACGGTCGTCTCTGCTGCTGCAGCATGGTTTATGTGTCACCATTCCTGGAATCACTTATGAAGCATCTAGCTTGGAACAAATTGGAATATAGTTCATTTCTGTTTAAATAGAAGGTCTTGATGCTGTCAATGTCATATCAAGGCAGATTTGTGATTGGCCAACCATAGGTGCTGGCGTTGTGAGAGTAGAGGGACTATGTTGAAGGATATAGCAGTGGAGCTGTAACGATGGAATAGAAAAAACAATGTTTAGGTTAACCAGGGGAACACAATTTTGTAGGTAGGCCTATTAAATGAGAATATCATGGTGTCATTATAGAACTTTGTTAAGCTGGTGATGACATTTCGCGACTATCACATTTTGTAGTTGCATCAAGAAATGAGGATTGTTTTCTTTGCAATATCGTTTCACAACCGAGGTTTTTAATCGTTTCTGTTTTTTTTTAACCGGGGGCCACGGGTAAAACCTATTCCCCCAAAATACCGGAATCTTGGTGTTAACAGCCTGAAAAATTCTAAGGAAATTTGAATTATTATTTTTAGTAATGGAACAAATACATTTATACCCTATATACAACTGAAACGAAGCGGTGGTGAGATGGTCGGCACGGAACCTGCTTAAGCTGAGCTCTTGAGTTCGAGTCATCCGAGCTGCTTTTCACTTTTACCTTGTTTTGCCTTGGTTGGTCCCTCACTGCAGTGATAGTAAAAAAACTCGGTGAAAAATCAGAGGCATGGGAATTCGACCCCGTGACCACCACAGACACCCGCGAGTTGCATGATACTGCGTACCACTCCAACACCCGCCTGTTTACGTCAATATTGGCATCCTTAGTAGTACTGGTTCCATTTTTAAAAAAAAATATCCAAAATTTTCCAGACGGTAACTGTCTTTCTCGGAGGGGGTCACCGAAAAAACCAACCGAGAGAAAAAGCGTTGTTCAAAACTAGCACATCTTAGCAATAAAGCTAACCATAATTTTCCTATCTTTGTTAAAGTACTAAGCAGTATGGTGATGGTTCTTTTTTTCCCTTCCTATATCAGTTGGTGACAAGATTAGGTGATGCGATTGCAACAGGCACAAGGGATCAAGCTTTTGATGCACTGGTAAGAATTTCGTATAATCTCTTATTTTCTTTTGTTGAAGAAATAATGGTAGTATGGTAGATGACTGCTTCTGGTCTACGACAGTTACATATTGAGTTCATTTAATATGAAAAAATAATACAATAAAATTAAACTATTTAACTCCAGAGATTCTAGGATGTTTTGGTCTCATACTTATCTGTGCCAAGCTAATAAACTACACTATCTTCGTATTGAATTGCGCTTTTGTAGAATTTTGAAGCCTGACATATGATTACTCAGAGCATGGAAGTCTAGTAACCTGAGTTGTTTTTATTTGTTTATGCAGGTTGAAGAATTGACCAGTCAATTTGCCAGGAGCCAACAGTTATTGAACTCCATTTCAGGAACACTAAGCTCGAAATCTGTTGTAAGTTTCTACACATGACTTTGTATGTAGTAGCTTTTCTGATAATGATAACAGTAATTTAGTGTGGTAATAGAAATAGAATGTTTTTTCAAGTTTCAATTAGGTGGCATGTTACTTTTGTCTAATTTAGTCAGGCTTAACTGCAGGGGTCACATGCTAGACAGGTTAGTTTGGTTGCAAATATAATATACAATATATGAATATTGTGGGGCCATTTGCAGAATTACCAAAATGCACCAAAAGTTCTAAAAGTGTTAAGCCTGTTAGCTTGAAAGTTGAAACACTAGCAGATCGGTGGAGCAGCTTAGTCGTACCCTGGTCTTTTCTTTCTCTCCTGTAAGGACCAGGAACCTGATATTTTAAGCCAAATACTGTATTTATTATAGAAATGAAGCTATTTCAAGTTTGGAACTCCCTCACATTCAAAATAGATGCCCTTTTAGAGTTGGGCACAGGATTTAAGAGAGTGTGAAATGTTGATATTGGCCATCTCTTTCTCATGCCAAGGGCATTAAGTTACCTCTGTTTTCCTACGCAAAGCAAAGCATGCAAATGCAACGACAGGAGGAGTTAATTAGCTATTTTCTTGATGACATTGACGAAGGGCAAAGTAGGAACACATCTAAACTAAATTATAAGGGTTAAAAGAACATATAAAAAATTAAGAGGCTGAAAGGACATCCATTTTGATATGGAGTGGGTATTATTTTAGTTGCATTAATGTAATCTAGACATCTAGTCACAATTGCGAGAGTAACTTGCACACTAGGCGATCTTCTATTTTTGTTTTCTTCGAAATATAATGGGGCCATATCTAATTGTGGGTTGCCTGAGATCTGTAATATCTACGGAGGTAGTATCCATATTTGTAATAATCGACCCTCATTGACAATGCACACGTAGTTCCAAAAATGTTCCCAAAAAATTAGTAGTTTGCCATTGTAAATTTGGTGATTTCTACATAACTTCTTGCCTTGTAGAGGATTTAGCCACAACTCTATTTATGACTTTTTGGCTGGTTTATCTTTGTATCGGCTATTAACTTGGGAGAAATATTCAGTTCTCATTATTCTGACCATGGTTATCTTACTAATGGTGTGTGTAACTCTAGGTGCTTTTGCGGTTTGAAAGATGACATAATTCTTATGGGTCTCACCAGTGAATCCTGACCTCTCACGTAAAGTACTGACCAGCTAACGCCACAGATAGTTCCAACCCTAAGCCCCGATTCTCACGGAAAGTATTTCCTTTTGTTACCAACAGACGGTTGAAGGACAAATGCAAAGTTTGGAAGAAACCCGTCAGCTGCTTGATCAAAGAAAGTAAGTGCTCCATCCATCAACGCGACCTGCCAACAATTTTTGTGATTTGGTAGAGTTCTATCCTAACCATTGCCATGTTTACCAGGGATTTGATCGCGAAATACAAAAGCTCGGTGGAAGACCTCCTTAAGGGGGATCCAACAAGATAAAAAAAAGGCTCTGACTATCGGACCCTCAGAACATTAATTATGATGGAGCTCGTTGTCACCACCGCGTGAAATAAATCGACGCGTCTTATCTTGTAAACATGCTTGGAGTAGTCTGTGGAGTAAGGGACATGGAATTTTTAAGTGGTGGTTACAAAGCTGCGTTTGTGTGTTGAGTGCGTGTATTTTGAGTTTTATGAAGTCATGGGAGTCCCTGTAAAATGGACCAAGCATATATGCATGAATGCCCCGAATTCTTCGGCCTGATCGGTTGGATATTATGCACTGAACTTGTTTGATGTCTATCGGCATAGCAATAATGTGATAATCCGGGGGTAATCCTGATCAGTTAGATAGTAGTAATTTTTATTCAGACAAGTTTGATGCTATGCACTTATAGTTTGCTGGAAATATGTGACAATCCTACGGGGCAACTCTAGCAGATTCCCCCAAACAGTCTCATCTCCGTAAAAAAACTGTTTTTATGGAGCACCGACTGCAAAAGAACAACTAGCGGAGTACAATTTTTTGGGTGGATGTTTCATATTTTGGCCCCAGCCTTCATATTTGGAGTTCTGGAGGATTCGAACCTGAATGAAATTTCAGCCCCTACCGCCAAGCTCCAACACCATCGTGTTACATGCAAGGCCATGCCGCAGCGTGCGCTCCAGAAGACAAGCTGTTCGCTTTCATTTTCAGTTGGACCAAAATTTAGGGGTCATGTATTTGATACTCCCTCCGTCCGGTGAAAAGTGTACATCTAGAAATTTTCAGACAAATTATGAAGGGGAGTAAAAATGCATTGAGAAGATGCAAGCCGTCATCTCTCTCCTCTTTAGTTACCCAACCCCTAATGAGCTAAGTGCATGTAGAAATTAAGAAGAGTATGTATAGAATGCTATTGGTCTTGATTACCGTGTGATGAGAGAAAATACTTTAAAGTGCATTAGGAAGATAGAAGTATACTTTTTTGTGGACAAATTTTAAACCCAAACATACACTCTTCACCGGACCGAGTGAGTACACATGGCACTCTTTGAGTACTCCCTCTGTAAAGAAATATAAAAACGTTTAGATCACTGCAAGTATTTTAACCAGATAAATATGTTCACTGATAATGAAAAAAAAAGTTCATCCATGTCAAATGAAATGTTTATGCGTGTGAAACAAACTGTTTAACAACTTATAAAAACTTGTCTCGCCGGATAAAGCTGGTCTGTACAGAAAATATTTAGAAAAACAGTTTTGCTAAGTCTTAGTCGACTGAGACTTCATTAAGTCTCAGTTGACGCTATATTCCTTTGATTTTGCACTGAGATTCATATAAGAAAAATTCTTTTCAGTTTTTCCTTTTTCTTATATACTACTCCCTCCGGCCGAAAAAGCTTGTCTCTCAAATGGATGTAGTGCTAGATACATCCATTTAAGGAACAAGCTTGAGACAAGCTTTTTCGGACGGAGGGAGTATATCATTTGACTGAGACTTGGTTAAGTCTTAGTCGACTGAGATCTACCCACAACTTGAAAAAAATGTTCTGCCATGCATGGAATAAAAAAAAATGTTTGAGTAACTTGCTGAAAATTTCCTGTACTCTTCAAACAAAGAAGGGAAAAAAAGATCTTACATTACGTTTATATTTTTTTCCTTGTAAACTTAAAAAACTCCTTTTCTGTTAGGTTGAAGACGCCCATGCCCGGTCGAAATTTTGATTCAACCGGGGACATACAATTACTATTTTCATGAAATGACAGTACTTCAAATCATTTGAACCGTTTTTGTTTCAGGTTCTTAGTTTTCCTTTCCTCTGAATATCAGTTGTTGCTGAATTTCATTCCACCGTTCCCAATGAGTTTTTTTATACAGCATCCATGACATAATTTATGTTTGAGTGTAAGCATGCTCCAGATAAAAATAGTCGCGAAGAGAGACTATTATCCCCAACGAACGGGCTGCTGAATGGTGATCTACAACATGCTTTCTTTTGTGGCCTTGATGAGCTCCATTCCTCCACATCTTTCACTTCCAAAAAGCTTGGATTACATGACAACTTGTAATCGAGATAGATTGGTTGAATATGACGTGCCAAGTGCCAACATCCCAACCACAAAAATAATGCACGAGGCCTTCTGCCCACCACCCAAGAGTTGCCGCCATTGTTGACCTCCACTCCTCAAGCTGCTTCGACGCAGCTGCCGCTGCCGCTGACCAAGCTCAGCTCGCCGGCCCCCATGATCCTGTTCCATAGTGATCTCGACCCCACAGATTATAGCCTTCGCGTTGCTGCCCCCAGTGCCCCTCCAGGGTCCAGTGTTACAGGTGATCTGGCTGACGCAGCATGAGCATATGCATCAGATTAGACCAGGAATGAACACCTGAAGCAATATATCATTGAGTAATACAGTAAAAGCTTTCTTTCACAAAAAAAATATGTCGACGATATGTTCGCGCTGTCGTAAGCAAAAAATATGTATTGTCAACAGTTTGCATGTATGGTAACTTGGTAAGGATGTTCAACAAGAGCTTGAAAGGAGCTAAGAAGTAAACATCTAACACAAGCAGCAATCAAGTCGTTGGCCTGTCAAACTGTTTGTATCGGAGGACAGCTAACAGTGAGTTAGGCCATACGCTGCTGACCGTAGACCGTTGAACATTTTCAACATGCAGATATCATACAAGTATACACTGATCTAGACCTCCATTCCATCCCTCCTTTATCATCTCATCCAAGAGGGGTCATATTACCAGACTGACACAGATGGCAGTTATGGGTACCTCCTCCCTGAGTCTCCACCACCCACCTCCCCTCCTCCTCTTGCTCCGCCTCCTGCTCCTGCCATTCGTCACCACCCAAACCATACTCAACATCACCAACCGATGCCCATACACCGTATGGCCGGCCGCTCTGCCGGAGGGTGGCGGCATGCGGCTGGACTCAGGGAAGACATGGACCCTCCAGGTGCCTTCTGACACCCGTGGAGGAAGTGTGTGGGCGCGCACAGGCTGCTCGTTTGACGGCAAAGGCAATGGGTCATGCCAGACAGGCGACTGCGAAGGCTTGCTCGCCTGCAAGACATATGGCCAGCCACCCATCACGTCTGCTCAATTCTCGCTCAACCAGTATAACAACAACAGTTTCTTCGGTATCTCCCTCTACCAGGGCTTCAACGTACCAATGGAGTTCTTGCCAATGCCGGTCAAGGGGCAAGGGGGATCAGGGTGCACAAAGGGGCCGCAGTGTGGGGCCAACATCACGTCACAGTGTCCGAGCGAGCTCAAGGTGCCGGGAGGCTGCAACAGCGCATGCGATGTGTTCAAAACTCAGTCCAATTTGTACTGCTGCTCTATGACACCCTGTGAATCCAACAAATACTCGGCCTTCTTTGTGCGGATGTGCCCGGAGGCAATAAGTTACTCCAGTGATGCTGTCACGGAAACTTCATTCAGTTGTCCATTGGATACCAACTACCAGGTCATCTTTTGCCCACCAATCAATCTAACGTCTTCACCTCCAAGTCCTCCTAACTCAGCTGATCTTAGGCCACTACACAAAGGACCCTCAGTAGGCATTTTTGTTTCAGTTGCAATTGCAGGTGCCATAGTTTTAATTATCACATTCATCTTTTTCATCATACGCCGAAGAAGAACACGACGACACCAGGAGATGGAGGAAGAGGAGGCAGACTTCAGTCAGCTACAAGGAACGCCAATGAGGTTTACGTTTCAACAGTTAGAAGCAGCAACAGAGCAATTCAAGGACAAGCTCGGGGAAGGAGGATTTGGGTCTGTTTTCGAGGGGCAGCTAGGCGAGGAAAGGATTGCGGTAAAACGTTTGGATCGAGCTGGTCAGGGGAAGAGAGAATTCTTGGCGGAGGTTCAGACAATCGGCAGCATTCATCATATCAATCTGGTGAGGCTGTTTGGTTTCTGTGCAGAGAAATCCCATAGGCTCTTGGTTTATGAGTATATGCCAAAAGGATCCTTGGACAGGTGGATCTATGGTCGACATGAAAATAGTGCTCCTCCGTTAGAATGGAGGGTGCGATGCAAGATTATCACTGACATAGCTAAGGGTCTATCTTATCTTCACGAGGATTGCATGAAGAGAATTGCTCATTTGGATGTCAAACCACAAAACATCCTCTTAGATGACGACTTCAATGCTAAACTCTCTGATTTTGGTCTATGCAAGCTCATTGATAGGGATATGAGCCAAGTGATTACAAGAATGAGAGGCACACCTGGATATCTCGCCCCTGAATGGTTGACATCACAAATCACGGAGAAGGCCGATGTCTATAGCTTTGGCGTTGTGGTCATGGAAATCGTGAGCGGAAGAAAGAACCTCGACACTTCCCTGTCTGAAGAGAGCATCCATCTTATTACCCTATTGGAAGAAAAGGTGGAGAAGAATCAGTTGGAAGATTTGATTGACAAGAGCAGTAATGACATGCAAGCACACGAGCGAGATGTAATCCAGATGATGAAGCTAGCGATGTGGTGTTTGCAGATTGACTGCAAAAAAAGGCCTAAAATGTCCGAGGTAGTCAAAGTCTTGGAAGGTACCATGGATGCAGAGAGCAACATAGATCATAACTTTGTCGCAACAAATGAACCAAATTTCGGTATTGCTGGAAATGTGAACTCTTCAGCTCCACCTGTAGCCTCAGATGTATCGGGTCCAAGGTGAAATGAGTCAATCCCGAGAAGACAGACAATTTGATTATCAGGTGCTAAATGAAATGAGTGAAAGACTTGTCTGTTGTATCTTTCCAAATTATTACAATCTGAAGCCGCTTATGTTGAGTTAATTTTACCTGTAAAATGTTTTAATATTACGAACCTTCTTGTTTTACAGCAGAATAACTTATTTATTCTACAGTTTGTTCAGTTTCTCTCTGTGATGCAGGTCTGTTTCAAGTTATTCCAGTTGAAACTAACAGCTATGTTACAAATGCTGCTAGGGCGCCTAGCTCCAATAAAGGCAGAGAAATGGATAGACTGA